CCATATTATATTTTTTAATAGAGTCATGTTTTATTTATTTATTTATTTATTTATTTGTTTGTTTGTTTGTTTGTTTAATACATGCACTGGGTACAGTCAGAAGTGTGGGAGGGCGAGAGAATTCACCAGAGCCAGAGCGGGGAGCAGAGCAGGCAGAAGGACCGAAGTACAATGCTGAGGGGAGCAGCAGGCAGCAGGAGAGGTCTGCGCGCCATGTGGGACCCTCCTCCGGTGGCCGGGGAGCAGCTAGGGATCGAATCAGTGCTGCAGAGGCTGCGGGCAGCTTTGCAACGCAGCACTCAACCGCTGCGCCACTGGGGAGGCCCTGGAAACATTTTAAAGTCAAGCAGTGAAAATTCAAATTGTTATATAAAGTCCTGGTTTCTATTTGACCTCACAGATGAGGCCTGCTCCTAGGAAAGACAAAAGACCCCTTCTAGCTGGGCCATGAAAAGGGAAGGAATAGAAATAGATTGGGCCTCCCTGATGGTGCAAGGAGTGAAGCACAGCACTGTGAAGCTGTCTGCAGCCTCCGCAACACAGGTTCGCTCCCCATAGAGCCAAGGAGTTACCCACACTGTGCAGTGGAGTGCTCCTGACTTACCCGCTGCTCCCCTTGGCAGTGTATTTCAGTTAGTCTGCTTATTCTGTTCCCCACTCTGTCTCTGGTGAATCCTCTCACCCCCTGCACCTCTGGTCTGTCTCCTAGTTCTTGTATGCATAAATAAGTAAATCTTAAAAAAAAGGAGAGAGATATTAATATTTCTTCTTTGCAGTTTGTCTGTTCTTAGACTCTTATCAGAAATTTGAAAAAAGAGGACCTCCCTGATGGTTCAAGGGGCTTAGACACAACCTAAGAATCTGTCCACAGCCACTGCAGCATGAGTTTGATCCCTGTCCAGGGAGCTGCCCACATGGCACAGCAGACTTCTCCTGACTCACCTGATGCTCCCCTCAGCAGTGTATTTCAGTAGATATGTCTGTTCTGTTCCCCTTTCTGTCTCTGGTGAATCCTCTCACCGCCCCGCACCTCTGGTGTGTACCCCAGTTCTTGTATGCACAAATAAATAAATCTTTTAAGAAAAAGATTTGACAAGGAATATTGTTTACAGAAACCTATTATGTAGCTTTTGATGAATAAATTGATTATTTTAAATAAAACTTGGATTTTTAAAGAAACCTATGAATTTTAATGATCAATAAGAAGTTTAGAAATTTTCCAACCAACTGGCAAGCTTCCTTTATAGCTGACGAGAAATTCCAAAGTAATTTTGACAAAACCAACTGAGCCTGATCACAGAAGTGTGACCCCAAGTGTGATCAGAAGAGGCCAGCCAACTCAGAGGAAGAAAAGGCCTCCTTTCAGTGGAGTACACTCTCTTCAGCCTACTTTCCATCCCATTTTCACAGTGACAGGTGGATACTGAATTGGCTGTCTGACTGAACACATAAAAATAAGAAAAATACCAAATTTCTAAATAACCAAGATCTGATTCTGGATACTTGCTTGAATTCCTTACACAGACACAATGTTCAGATTCACAAAACTATTTGCACAAAGTAAGGACCAAGTAAGGTAAGTAGAAGCCCCAGTCCAAGCCCACTGCTCTCACTGGGACAATCCAGCCCTCCCAGCCACCTGCCAGTGTCCAGAGAGTCCGGGTTGTCCTAGGTTGCCCACGGCCAAAGTGCCTGAGCTTACCCTGGATGTCAGGGTGAGACTGCAGAAGAGGAGAGTCACAAGGAACTCACGCCTGAGCCAGCCAGTGTGGACAAAGAGCACACACTGCCTGGATTTTGTGTTAGTAAAGCATCAGTCTGTCCCCAACTGTCAGCTTCTCCTGGGCTCCTGCAAGTAACCAGTGACAAGAACTGCTTCTTAGACATGGGTTGGCAGCTACAGGTCCCCAACTCACTTAATACTGTCACCAAGGGGCTTTCAGATGAAACAAATACGGCACCTCTCACCATTTTAACCACTGGCAGACACCCCAGCTGGGGTCCAGGTTGTTGTGCGGATCAGGCCCTGCTGTCCCTTTGTCCCAATGCGGACCAAGTGACCCTCGTCACTAGTTCCCTTGAACACGTGGAGGCTCCCAGCAACATCAGGAATCCCCCACTTACCACTGACCAAGGCTGAGGACTGACACCCTGGGAGGTGTGACAAAGTCATCAGGCTAGATCTGGAAAAAAATTACTTTTTGGTTTCCGATTCAATTTCAAAAATGTAGGCTCGGGCCTCCGTGGTGGTGCAAGGGGTTAAGTATCAGCACTATGATGTAATCCGTAGCTACTACATCAGGAATTTGATCCCCGGCGAGGGAGGTTACCCACATGGGAAAGCAGACCTCTCCTCTTCCCCACTGCTCCCCTCAGCAGTGTATTTCTGTCAGTCGCCTATTCTGCTTCCTGATCTCTCTGCTGAATCCTCTCAGTCCACCACCACTGGCCTGTACCCCATTTCTTGCATGCACAAATAAACACGAATTAAAAAATAAAAAAGAAAGCTCTTTGCCTATTGGTAGGAGACAGTGGCTCTGCAAGTGGATATTGGAATCATTCAACCCTATGTGTATATACAGTTATTCCCCATATATATCCTTGTTTAATCCTTTCTGTAATTTCAGAAAAAGAAAAGAGAATCATTAATGTATCATCAAATTTCTGAAGATTACAAACTATAGGGTCCCCCCTGGTGATTCAGGGGCAAAGTCTCAGCACTATAAAGCTATCCAAAGCCACTGCAGGAGGAGTTTGAATCTGTCCAGGGAGCTGACCCACATGGCTCATCGGGGAGGGGCAGCTGCCCTCAGCAATGTATTTCAGTGGATCTGCCTGTTCTGCTCCCCACTCTGTCTCTGGTGAATTTTTCTCACTCCCTGTAACGCTGGCTTACATCCCAGTTCTTGTAGCATAAATAAATAAAATAAATCTTTTAAAAAGATTATAAAATATAGCTTAGCACAAAGGATAAATAAAATATAATTTTTATAACAAAATAAACTCCAAAATCCAGCTAGCTCTCTCTTTTGTTAAATCATATTTTAGAGTGTGTTTAGGGAAAAAGAAATCACCAGAAAGGATCTATAGTCATCACACACTTGAACATAACCTGATTCCAGTAAGGTAGTAACAGGCCATCCGTCACTTTCAGTGTTTCTGTGGCATCCCTATTTGTGGGTGTCTGTGTCACATGTGGAAATATCCCCTATTCCTATGGGGTGATCACAAGACTTACATGGAACAGGGGCAGGTGGACACATACTCTAGGTTTGCTCTGGGTGTTGTATCTGTTGTGTGCATCTGGGTAAATAGCACATTAAACAAGATGTCACTGATGGCTGAGAGTCACTGGAAAAGTTGAGGAAATGAGAGCAATTAGAAGAGGTGAGCTGGCCTTCCTGGGTTAAGGGAAGACTCACTGTTGAAACACCTGTGTGCAAGGGTCCTGGATAGTATAAACGTGAAATTTCAGAATGACCAAATGACTCCATTAACTGGGTGAAGAAACACAAGGCCACACTATCATAATCTTCTTTGAGTAAGCACAAATATGTGGCTGTCATTACAAGTATAACCTCTGCCTTTCATGACAATTCAACACCTATATGTGACACACATGATTAACACATGATTTCAATTTTGTCTGGTATCTAAAATTTAAATCATTCATAATATGTTCATTTTATATCTTGACTCTTTCACTCAACAACATGCAGGCAAGGTGACCCACATACTGGATTTAGCTAGAGTCTCTGTATTTTCACTGTTTTATATTCTTCCACCGAATGCAAAGTAACTTCTCCCTTCTGTTCTGCGTCCACAGTATATTATTTCATAAAATTTTTTATCCATGCTGGAATAACACTATATTTGCAATTTTATATTGTTTCTCTTTCATTTAATGTTATAAGTGTTATCCATTGATAACTATTCAGAATGATTGTACCTAATTGCTACATTTATTGTCACATATTTGACTGTTTCCTGGAGTTCTGATGGAGATTGTTTCTTGTATTTGTTAGTACAAGAAAGTGCTGGTTAGCATTTTTACGGCTATACATTTTTATTTGTGTTCACAGAATTTCCTGAGGTCATTTCTCAAAAAAAATACTATTTTTTTAATGCACATGCATATATATAATATTCCAAATTCTAATAGCTGAATCAAAGTTCCCCACAGAAGGGCGATATAAAATTTTTCTAAATGAGCGAGAACCCCTATTTCAGCGGGTTCTTGCCTCCACGTCATTTTGTCTCCGCATCTTGAAGGCTGTGATGTCACACACTCCCGCTTCCTGCCCCCATCTGCACTGGCCTACCGCCTCCACGACTCTCCCCGGCTGCATCTCCCCTTGGAGGGGTTGACCCGCCCCTCGGCCCCAGCTCCATTCCCCCTTGGCCTCCTGTCCCAGGCCTGGGGCCTCCACCCCCCCATTATCCCGCCTGGGCGGCCCTGTCCCCCCACCCCCCAGCCACCAGGCGGCGCGCGCCTTGTACCCGCGCCTGGCTCCCCCGCGAGCCTGTCCTCCCTCGGCCTCGCCCCGCCCCCTGCGTGTTGACGTCACGTCCCTGCGCGCTGATGCGGGAGCGGAAGTGGCAGAGACTCAGGGCCAGGAGCACCCGCCACAGGGAAGCGGTCCGGGGGCCGAGGAGGGAGCGGTCCCGGGGGCAGCGGGCAGGCGGGGAGCATGCAGGCTGGTGGCGGGGCGGGGAGAGGCAGGGAATAATGGGGGGTGGGACGCCCCGTCTCTCCCTGTGGGGGCAGCGGGTTCGGGCCTGTGTGGTCGCGGGTGAACAATCCTCGCGTGTTTTCAGTCACGGGGGCGCGACTTGCTGTGGAGTCGCGTGGAAATTCTACGTTAACGGCGTCTTCGGAGATGCGGGGTGTTCGCCTCCGTTTAGTTGGATTTTCTGAGCTTCAGCGCAGCAGGACAGGCGGGGGCGCCCCGTGAGCACCCGGGGTTCTCCCGCTGGCCGGCCCTGGGCCCGCCCCGACACCCGCCCCTGCAGCCCTGGCCCTGTGCCCGCTCCCGCCTCCCCCGCTGCTGGGGTCTCCTTGGCACTCGCTGCTCCAGACTCGGGTGAAGCTCTTGCCTGCGGGAGCCCAGTTTCTTCAGGAACCACCCGGAGCAAGAGGGAGGTGAGGACAAGTCGCTGCCAGTGGCTGGTGCAGAGCGGGCCAGTCAGGGGACCCGGGGTGGGGCTGTCTGGGGGTGCAGAGCTCTGCGCGGGTCATTTTGGGTCCTGGAGGAACATGGGGGTCAGGTCGTTCCTGAGTGTGACCCCGTGGGTGGCCAGCGCCCCTGACGGAAAGTGCATCCCCCGTCTTTGTTCCCAGAGCCTCCCTGCTGCAATGATGACCCCTGGGGTGTGTTTGCCGGGCTCCTTGCTATGTTCCACTGATTTGTGTGTTTAATTTCTGTAAACTTAGGATATATTTTGGGGAATTATAAGTTTACATGTTGTAATCTTCTCTGGGGCTGACACCGCCTCCACACCCCAGGTCCAGCAGGCAGGAGGGCAGAGTCATGTCCCAGTCTCCTGGGGGCACAAGTTCTGACCCAGAGGGTTGTTGGTGCCTCGGGCTCTGTATTTCTCACAAGGGGTCTGGGATGCTGCCCCTTCTGGTTTGGGGCCCACATGTTAGGGCTGCAGCACTGCTTCCCTGTTGTGCAGCTGACGTGGTACTTCAGAGCCTGGAAGAGGGACCTTGGACCCCTGGACACTGCCTCAGGAGGCAACTTTACACTCTCCCTTGAAGAGAATCCAGGCTTCCCAGAGACTTGAGTGACCAGGAGCCACACAGCCTGCCACATGCTGGCTGCAAGTGTTTGGTTTTCTAAAATGGGTTATTATTAACCGACTCCTTGCAGTGAAAGCAGTGGCTCTCTCTGCATCACTAAAGGACACACCCAACAAACCTTTCAGCAGGGTCAGCTGGGCACTGTCACAAACAGGGAAGGAAACTTTCTAAAATGGGGAGCACCTTTGACACTGAAGGTTTCTTTCCTAAGCTCTTGAGATCTTTTCTCTATAGATGGTGCTAAAAGGATCCCTCCTATTTCAGGGATTGTGTAAACCACAATTACTCGTGGGAACTGGATATTTTAGAGAAAACCCCCTTTATGTGTCTTTTTAAAAGATTTTTTAAAGATATTTATTTATGTAAGCACTGGGGTACAGTCAGAAGTGTGGGAGGGTGAGAGTATTCACCAGAGCCAGAGTGCGAAACAGAACAGGCAGACTGACGAAATAAACTGCTGAGGGGAGCAGCGGGCGTGACAGGAGAGGTCTGTTGCACCATGTGGGACCCTTGCCGGCGGCCAGGGATTAAACTGGCACTGCAGAGGCTGTGGGCATCTTCGCAGTCCAGTGCTCAACTGCTCTCCCACTAGGGGAGGCCCTTTTTTAAGGTTTTTTAAAAATATTTGCATAAAAAAACTGGGGTGCAGGCCAGATGTGTGGGAGGATGAGAGGATTCACCAGAGGCAGAGTAGGGAGCACAACAGGAGGATCTTCTGAGATACACTGCTGAGGGGAGCAGCGGGTGAGACAGGAGAGGTCTACTGCACCTAGTGGGTCAACTCCTGGCTGAGGATTGAACTCAGGCCATCATGGTGACAGCACTGGGATTTAACCCCTAGCCCATCGGCAGGGGGTGGGGGGATAGCTGCACTTTACTTTTAAATGTGTTGCCACTTCCTCTGTTATGCTTGCTTTGGAGAGAAGTTGAATTTCTCTTGAAAGGAGAAAGGAATCGGACTTTATTGAGCATCTGATGGAGATTACCTGACCCTGTGCAACAAGTTCATTGCTTTAGTTCCATGATCTCCATTAATGACGCTATAGAGCTATTATTCCTACACTGTAGTTGTGCACCCTGTGGTCCAAAAGGTATCAGTAACTTCTCTGAGATCAAAAAATAAGCACAAGGACCAGATATTTTTGGACTCCCAAATTTTGTGTTTTGTACTTCACCAAAGGATTTATAATAATGGTAAGTTATAACCCTCTTGTAGGACGGGGGAGGGAAGGAGTTTGCGTCCATCCTCAGAACAGGTCTGTGGGTGCTGGACGTCCTCATCCATAAGGAAGGAGCTTGGGCTAAAACGAGACAGAACAAAACTTTCAGGTATCATTGTAGCATTTGAGGATGCTGTCATTAATATTGAACATGAATTACTTAATATTTTTAGAATGCCCCTCATCCCAAACATGATTGCTAGTCATAAGAGACTGCAGTTAAAAACAGCCCTTTTGGTGGGCCTCTGGTGGTACAGCGGTTGAGCATTGGGCTGCAAAGCTGCCTGCAGCCTTCGTAGCGCTGGTTCGATCCTGGCTGCTGGCGAGGGCCCCACAGGGCGTGCAGACCTCTCCTGCCATGCCCGCTGCTCCCCTCATCAGTGTCCTTCATCAATCTGCCTATTCTGTTCCCCACTCTGGCTCTGGTGAATTCTCTCAACCTCCCACGCTTCTGACTGTACCCAGTGCTTGTAAAAATAAATAAATCTTGAAAAAAAAATAGCCCTTTCGGGCCTCCCCAGTGGCACAGTATGTTGGGAACAATGCTGTGAAACTGTCCACAGCCTCTGATGTGTGGGTTCAATTCTCAGCCGGCCAGGGATATAAGCACATGGCACAGCAGACCTCTCCTATCTCCCTGCTTCTCCCCCCCCCAGCAGTGTATTTTGGTCCATCTGCCTGTTCTGCTCCCCACTCTGTGTCTGGTGAATCTTCTCACCCTGCAGTGCCTCTGCCCTGCACCCCGGCTCTTGTATAAAAATAAATCAATCTTTTAAAGAAGCATTTTCTCTGTTTCTCTAACACAGGAGGCTTAATTGCGGCACCTACCAGAGAAAGTTCCTGGAGATCTATTCTAGATCTGGTGAGGAGGGGATGCCTCTGCAATGCCGCCATTATTTTTCAGGATGAGACTCCCCTTTAAGTGCATTTATTTATGTTATTTTAGGGTCTCCCCTGTCCTTAAAGACCATCTCTTTTATTCTTCTTTTCTTACATCCTTGTTCATTTTTGTCTACTTACTGGTTTCTCCCCCAGGGGTGGTCCCCATAATGCTCCCACCACCATAGCAGCTGTGACCCATCACTACAACCCCTTGTGCTCTTCTCTCCCCCCCTGTTTAGCCCCCTCCCTCCCGCTTCCTGCTGGATCCTCAGCTCTTGGTCAGCCTGCTAGGGTTTTCTTTTTCTTTACATTTTGTTCAGTTCCGCCGTATTTCACATCTGATATTTCTTCTCCTGATTTATTGTGGCCAGCATAATCCCTTCAAGCTCCATTTATATCACCAACAGTGGCATGAATTTGTCTGTTTTCATTGCTGAGTAATATTGCCTTGTGTATCTACACCACACCATTTTGATCCATTCATCTCTTTTGTGGCATTTGAGTTGTTTCCATGTCATGGTTATTGAAAATAGTTCTGCAGTAAACAAAGGAGTTCAGGTTTCCTGGGGTGTTTTTTTGTCCCTTGGGTATATTCCTAGGAGTGGACTCACTGGATAATGTGTAGACCCATTTTCAGTGTTCTGAGGAACCTCCACATAGCCGTCCATAGTGGCTGGACAAGTTTGCCTTCCCACCAGCAGGGTAGGAGGCTCCCTTTTCTCCACTGCTCCTCCAGCATTTGTTGTTTCCAGGTTTATTTTTTTAATGTGGAGCATTCTTACTGGAGTGAGGTGTCATCTCTGCGGTTTTGATTTGCATTTCCTTGATACGAGTGATGCTGAACCTTTTTTCTGTGCCTGTTGGCCATTTGCATTTCTTCTTTGGAGAAGAGTCCTTTAACTTCTGCCCATTTTTTGGACTGGATTGTTTGTTTTTTTGAGTTGTGTAAGCTCTTTGTAGATCTTTGTTATCAGTCCCTCATCTGTCAATGGTTTGCAAATATTTTCTCCCATTCAGCAGGGTATCTCTTTGTTTTGATCATTGTCTCTTGATGTTCTGAAGATTTTTTATGTATATGGAGCTCCAACTTTTATATTCTCCTTTGTTTTCTCTGCCTCTGGAGAAGATTCCTCAAAGACATTCCTGAGGATTGTGTCATGGAGCGTTGGACTGTGTTCCCTTCTGAGTATTCTATGGTTCCAGGTCTCACATGCGAGTCTTTTATCCACTTGAGTTGGTTTGTGTATAGTGTGAGGTAGTGGTCTAGTTCCATTCTTTTTCATGTTGCAATCCAGTTTCCCCAGCACCATTTATGGAAGAGGCAATTATTTTCCCAATGTGTATTCTTTGCTCCTGTGTCATGGGTTAGTTCCTCATTGTAATCTGTGTCTATTTATGTTCCAATAAAGATTTCATTATAACAGCTTTGTAATATTGTTTGATGTCTGGGAGTGTAATACCTCCTTTCTCCCCCACCCCTTTTAGTAAGAACTATCCTACTAGAGGTTTTTGTGATCCCATGTGTATTTGAACCATTTTGGTTCCATTTCATTGAAGAACACCACTGTAATTTGTATTGAAATTGCATTGAATTTGTAAATTGCATACAAATGGGAAGTCCCACCTAGGTTTGTTACGTTTTTCCAATTATGGAACATTCATAAAACAGAGTGTTAATAAAAAAGTAGGTGTTATTTTCTATAATTTCTAAAAAGTTGTTATTTTCTATAAATTCTAAAACAGACAAAGTAGGTCTGTTCTCTAGAGATGTAGAATATTTCAGATTGAACGGCAAAGGCATTTTATAATATAATAGATGACAAGTTACTGATTGTATAATATTAGGCTATTCTTCCACTTTTCCGCTGATGGAACTGTAAGTAAATTGGAAGAGGCCATGGTCACCTCTAGTCCCTGGCTTCCAGGGGGTGCCCTCCCCAGAACGGGACCCTGACCCTCCGTCTAGGTCGTCTGCTGGCGAAGGCCCCGCCACTGGGGCTGTGAGTGCGAGAGCAGTGTGCAGGCGTGCCCCGGGAGGAAGGATTGGTCTTCCGCGAAGGGGAAGTGTTTCCCGTTCCCCCATGGGGGAGGATAATCCGGTACTCCCATGGGTGCAGGGGTGGCCCAAGCCCGGTTGCGGCTGAGGGTCCCCAAACCCCCTCAACAGCGCCCCCAAGCGGCGGCCCTATAAGTGCACCTGAGCGCAGCCAGAGTCGGTGGGCGGGGTCAGGCTCCGGCCAGGGGCAGAGGCCTGGGCTCGTCAACACTGCTGGGCCAGGTGCGGACTCTTCCCCTTTGAGTGGTGCTGGCTTGCCCGGGGCTTTTTTCCGCGAAAGTTGTGTGCATGCAGTTTTGGAAGAGGCCACGGTCACCGCTTGTCCCTGGCTTCCAAGGGGTGCCCTCCCCTGACCGGGACCCCGGCCCTCTGTCTAGGACGTTCCTCGGGCGCACGGCCCCGCCGCTGGGGCTGTGTGTGCCAGAGGAGGGTGCAGGCGTGCCCCGGGAGGAAGGTTTGGGCTTCCGCGAAGGGGAAGAGGGCCCCGTTCCCCCATGGGGGAGGACAATCCCGTACTCCCATGGGTGCAGGGGTGGCCCCAGCCCGGTGTGGTCTGAGGGTCCCCGAACACCCTCACCAGCGCCCCCTAGCGGCGGCGGTAGGAAGTGTACCTGTGCAGAGCCAGAGTCGGGTGGGCGGGGTCAGGCTCGGGCCAGGGTCGGAGCCTGGGGCTCATCAACGCTGCTGGGCCAGGTGCGGACTCTTGCCCTTTGAGTGGTGCTGGTTTGCCTGGGCTTATTTCCGTGCCGGCCTGTGTGCCTGCACTTTTGGAATAGGCCGCGGTCGCCGCTTGCCCCTGGATTCCAGGGGGTGCCCTCGTCTGACCAGGACACTGGCCATACTTCTAGGGCGTTTGCGGGCGCACGGCCCAGCCGCTGGGGCTGTGAGTCCGAGAGGAGGGTGCAGGCGTGCCACGGGAGGAAGGTTTGGGCTTCCGCGAAGGGGAAGAGGGCCCCGTTCCCCCATGGGGGAGGACAATCCTGTACCCCCATGAGAGCAGTGGTGGCCCCAGCTCGGTGGGGGCTGATGTTCCCCAAACTCCCTCCTCAGCACCCCCTAGATGCGGCCCTAGGAAGTGCACCTGTGCGCAGCCAGAGTCGGGTGGGCGGGGTCAGGCTCCGGCCAGGGGCGGAGCCTGGGTCTCATCAGCCCTACTGGTCCAGGTGCGGACTCTTCCCCTTTGAGTGGTGCTGGCTTGCCCGGGGCTTTTATTCGCGCCGGTCTGTGTGCCTGCAGTTTTGGAAGAGGCCGCGGTGGCCGCTTGTCCCTGGCTTCGAGGAGCTGCCCTCCCCTGACCGGGTCACCGGCCCTCCGTCTACGGTGTCTACGGGCGCACGGCTTCGCCGCTGGGGCAGTGGGTACGAGAGGAGGGTGCAGGCGTGCCCTGGGAGGAAGGTTTGGGCTTCCTTGAAGGGGATGAGGGCCCCGTTCCCCCATGGGGGAGGACAATCCCGTACCCCCATGGGTGCAGGGGTGGACCCAGCCCATTAGGGCTGAGGGTCCCCAAACCCCCTCACCAGCGCCTCCTAGCGGCGGCCCTAGGATGTGCACCTGTGCAGAGCCAGAGTTGGGTGGCGGGGTCAGGCTCCGGCCAAGGGCGGGGCCTGGGGCTCATAAGCGCTGCTGGGCCACGTGCGGACTCTTCCCCTTTGAGTGGTGCTGGCTTGCCCGGGGCTTTCCGCGCTGGCCTGTGTGCCTGCAGTTTTGGAAGAGGCCGCGGTTGCCGCTTGTCCCTGGCTTACAGGGGGTGCCCTCCCCTGAGAGGGTCCTCGGCCCTCCATCTAGGGCATCTGCGGGCTCACGGCCCCGCCGCTTGGACTGTGAGTGGGAGAGGAGGGTACAGGCGTGCCCCGGGAGGAAGGTTTGGGCTTCCGCTATGGGAAAGAGGGCCCCGTTCCCCCATGGGGGAGGACAGTCCCATTCCCCCATGCGTGCAAAGGTGGCCCCAGCCCCGTGGGATCTGAGGGTCCCCGAACCCCATCACCAGCGCCCACTAGCGGCGGCCCTAGGAAGTGCACCTTTGCGCAGCCAGAGTCAGGTGGGCGGGGTCAGTCTCCAGCCAGGGGCGGAGCCTGGGGTTCATCAGTGCTGCTGGGCCAGGTGAGGACTCTTCCCCCTTTGAGAGGTGCTGGGTAGCCCGGGGCATTCCGCGCCGGACTGTGTGCCTGACATTTTGGAAGAGGCCGCGGTCACCGCTTGTGCCTGGCTTACAGGGGGTGCCTTCCCCTGAGAGGGACCTCGGCCCTCCATCTAGGGCGTCTGTGGGTGCAAGATCCCTCCGCTGGGGCTGTGAGTTCAAGAGGAGGATGCAGGCGTGTCCCGGGTTGAAGTTTTGGGCTTCCGTGAAAGGGAAGAGCGCCCCGTTCCACCATGGGGGAGGACAATCGACTACCCCCTGTGTGCTGAGGTGGCCGCAGCCCGGTGGGGGCTGAGGCTCCCCATACCCCCTCACCAGCGCCCCCTAGCGACCGCCCTCGGAAGTGCACCTGTGCCCTGGCAGAGTCATGTGGACGGGGTCAGGCTATGGTCAGGGGCGGAGCCTGGGGCTCATCAGTGCTTTGGCGGCTCCTGCTCCCACAGAGAGCAAAATTTCCATTGCCACAATTTATCGTTAATATAAGAGTGTCTGTACTATGAAAGTACATAAGTCCCTCTTCCCCTGTGTGCTGGACTGGACAGTCAATGACGGGTAAGATCAGAAAAGATTTCTGACGACCTAAGAGAGGCGCAGTCCCCAAGGGGATTTTATCGGTTCCCACCTTTTACTTATGGAAAATAACTGATGGAAAACAAGTCTGGGAAATTTTGATACACAACCAAGGCATGTTGTTAATCATTAATAGTCTAGGTCTTGTACTGAAAAAATTCAATTATGGTGAGAAAAACTGGTTCTATGACTTCTAGCAAATGTGTAACCAAGTAGAATTATAGGAATAATAAATAGTACTAAAAATAAAAATATAATGTTAAAGATATGACAAAAATGTATAATCATAGTAAAAAATCATAATGTTAAAATAAGCCTCCACTGGGGGTTTTACGATATGTTCTTGATTCCTTGATAAATAATAGACAATATGTTATGTTATTCATGTTTCACTGCATTTACGATAAATGTGACATATGATTAACCACATACTGTAAAAAACATATTGAAGTAATGACTTTGGAAATGTATAAAAAGAAAAGGCTGATTCCAATAAAGCGCACTGAGATCTTCACTCTTCCTTGAGTTTGTCTGTGTCATTTATTTCATCCCTCGCCCTAATTCCTTCGACCACCTTCTGCTCGTTCTCACTCAACCCCTGGGATTTTCTCAATCTCCCGCCGCCGCTGGGCTGGTCCGCGTTAGGTGGCGCCCAACGTGGGGCTCGAGTCCCAAACAGTGGAGCTCAGTGAAGCTGGAAGAATCGACTTTCTCTGCTTTGTGAGACTGTGTGTATGTTTGTGTGAGTAATTGTGTTTGAATTCCAAGGCTCTTTTGAGCCGTGGAGCCTGTGTGGGCTCGTACCTGCAGTTCTGCGAAAGCTGTAAGGTTTAGTGGGGTCTCCTTGTGGTATCCAAGACCGGGGCTTGTACGGTCACCCCTATACCAAGGCTTTCTAATACTCCGCGAGGAGTACGGTTAGCCGAGCTTCGCTGAGTGTTTTTGTTTTGCTTTCTAGGCGAAAAACTCTCTAGTTATTTCCTTAAGAAGACGACGAGTTTGGAAGAACGAGCTTGAGGTAAGCTATCTCTCCACTTTTTTTTTTTTTTTCTAAAAAAATTTTGTCGAAGGATAGGGAATCTATCGGGGCGCCGCGGGCCCGCTGGTAAAGGCTGACCAGTTAAAGAGGACGAGTAATCTATAAATATGGGACATTCTTACTCTAGAGATAGAGGACTTTTCCTTTCAGTTTTAAGTCACATGTTAAAGATTCGAGGGATGGACATAAGTAACAGGTCCCTCAGTGAATTTTATGAGTTTATTTTAAGAATCTGCCCCTGGTTTCCTGAAGAGGGCAATTTGTCTTTGACAAATTGGAAACGTGTAGGAAAGGAAATCAGGAGATTTTATAACCAAAACGGCCCTACACAGGTGCCCGTTCAAGCCTTTACTTTGTGGATACAAATTAGAGATTTATTAGATGGTTCTACGGAAGCAGATCTATGGAAAGGAGAAATCTCAGAAGAAAGTAGTGATCAGGAAGCTTTTCCTTTTGCCAATAAATCTAAAACATATTTGGGTGCTGTGTTCCCTACTGCACCTATTGCAGAAGGAAAACTTGTAGATTGTCACCCTGGAGATCCTGAATATGCAGAAGTTATGGGTGATGAGGATGATAGTGACTTTGAAGAAACATTTGCTGATCTTTGTAGGACAACAGAACCAAAACAAAACCCCGTGCCACAGAATACTCTTATGGCACCAAATTATTTTAGCAAGAAAAAACAATTTAAATGCTCTAAACCAAAGAGGCTGCACGCCCCTCCTCCAGGAACAGAAAGTGGCATAAGGATGGACATAAATTAAAATAAATAGAAGAGAATCCAATTAAAAAAAAAACTCTCAGAGGGGCGAGCCATCAGCCCCATAAATGAAGGAGGGTATACTCTGGCGCAAATAAGCTCTAAAGAAACACCTGCGCCTGCTACGAATGTAGCCGTACATGATTTGCCAAGAGCCACTCCTGGAAGTGCAGGATTAGATCTTGCAGCCATGGCTGATGTTATCATGTCAGCCACGGATGGAGTTCATTTAGTTGACACTTACTTAAAGGGACCGCTTCCACAAGGAACTGTCGGACTTATAATTGGCCGTAATTCAAATTATAAAAATAATTTTGAAGTTCTACCTAGAATAATTGACTCAAGTTTTGAAGGGAAAATTAAAGTCATGGTTCGACCTTTGAAAGAAACAATACAAATTCACAAAGATCAATGTATTGCACAAATTCTTGTGTTGTCTTATGTTAAATTGCCTAATCCAATTTTAAAAGAAAAAAGAGGTGATGATGGCTTTGGATCCACGGATGTAATTGCATGGACCCAGAGCATTACAAAAGAACGACCATTGAAAAAATTAATTGTTAATGGACATCCAATCATGGGATTGCTAGACACAGGAGTAGATAGATCATGTATAGCAGGGAAAGACTGGCCTGCTGCGTGGCCAGTTTTAAATTCCTCCTCCACGTTGATTGGATTGGGTATGGCCAATAATTAAGCTCTCAAAAAAATTTAAATAATAATACAAACATATTTGAGCTAAATTCAAACCTCAAATTTTAATAAAAGCCTAAAAACAGGCAAACTCTAAAAATTTCCCTCATCTCCTGTTATCAAAATAACAGGGTTCCTTTTGTTTTAATATATACTTGCTCTCAGTATAACAAAACATTGACAACCTAAAGCCAAAAAATCACTTCTTAAAAATATGAACTCAAAAAATATTCTCTTATCTAAAAAAGTTAGTAAAACTGCCTGACTGTTGTGGTCTTGAGCCCAAGGTCTTTGGTAATAATTAAAATTCTCTGCACAGTTTTTTTTTGCTTTTAACTCATTAAAAAACCTCAGTGGCATCACAAAAATTAATAAAATAACTATCTCTTAAATATATATATATATGGCCAAAATTTTAAATATATATCAAGAGATCTCTGTATCTGTTTGTCTGTCTTTGTGTTTTGTTTTGTTTTGTTTAGTGTTGTTTTATTTTGTTTTGTTTTTTCTCTCTGGAGGATTAATTATAAATGGCACGTATATAAATTTTCATAAAAACAAATCTTATAATTACAATCATTTTTGGTAAACAAAAACTTATTCAAATTTTATGCTATAATTTAAAGCATATATGCCTTAAAGTTATGTTAAGTATTAATAATTTACTTTGTTTAATGTGTTTAATTCAAAAGTCTGGTATAAATGGTACTTTTGTCTTTCCTATTAAGTCACTGTATGTAAAATAGGTACAAAGCTCTAAATTTTTGTTTTTTTTTATTAATTTGTCTACTACTTGTTTAATAATGCTAATTCACCCATCTGGTCCCTGCTAAATTAAACCAACACCTTGGTTCCTCCTCTTGACTGACTGAAACCTGAAAAGTCACAGATAACCTACTCCTTCACCACTTCCAATGGGACTCGTGCTTACTTGAACTTTTTCGTCTTTTTGCTACTGTGAATACTATCAAACTTTTTAGCACCAGACAACATATCTACGCCATATGAAATTTCAATCTTCGTGCCTGCATTGGATACCCCTATACATTGTTTTTTGGATCTGCCAACACAATAAACATTTCCCGCCACGGGAATTCCTATTCTGTCACCTGTTCTAAATGCGTGTTGTCTAATTGCCTAACTCCTAATATTGTTCATAATTTTTCTACTATGTTTATGTTAAAAAAAAACCTTCTTATGTTATATTACCTGTTGATTTACAAGATACCCCATAATTTGACAATATTGCTTTACAAGTTATTCAGGAATTCAATGCCTTAATTTGTTCTAAACATTTTGTTGCTACGCTTATTTTAGGTATTACTGCCTTAATTGCTATTGTGACTTCTCTTACAGTTTCGTCTGTTGCCCTGGTTCAGGAAACACATACTGCTCATTTTGTTAATAATCTCACAAAAAATGTTACTTTGGCTTTAGCTCTGCAACATGACATTGATCAAAATCTAAAACACAAACTAACTGCTTTGGAGGAGACAGCACTTGGTACAAAAGTCCAACAAATTAAATGACTTCTCTCTACTCGGTGCCATGCTCAATTCAGGTTTATTTGTGTTACGCCCAAACTTTATAATTCTTCCTATAATTGGGCTTTTATTAAAAATCATTTACTTGGCATTTGGCGTAAAAGTGACACCAGTCATAATTTGTCTTCTCTCCAGGCTGAAATCTCAGCAATGAGTCAAGCTCATTTGTCCAAACCAGCTTTGTCAGATTTTGCATCTACGTTTTCTGAGTCCTTACGTTCTTTGGCACCCTCTAATTGGTTACACTTTCTTATTTCATTTGGTGTAATCATGCTCATTGTCTTGATTTGTTGTCTCATGGTCCCTATATTCTTAAAAATACTCAGCAAATCTATTAAAACTTTACGAAGTGATGTGCATCAAATACAACTTAAATTTAAAAATAAAGGGGGAACTGTGGCGGCTCCTGCTCCCCCAAGAGCAAAGTTACCATTGCCACAATTTATCGTTAATATAAGAGTGGCTGTACTATGAAAGTACATAAGTCTCTCTTCCCCTGTGTGCTGGACAGGACAGTCAATGACGGGTAAGATCAGAAAAGATTTCTGACGACCTAAGACAGGCGCAGTCCCCAAGGGGATTTTAATGGTTCCCACCTTTTACTTATGGAAAATAACTGATGGAAAACAAGTCTGGGAAATGTTGAGACACAACCAAGGCATGTTGTTAATCATTAATAATCTAGGTCTTGTACTGAAGAAATTCAATTATGGTGAGAGAAACTGGTTCTATGACTTCTAGCAAATGTGTAACCAAGTAGAACTATAGGAATAATAAATAGTACTAAAAAAAATAAAAACATCATGTTAAAGATATGACAAAAATGTATAATCATAGTAAAAAATCATAATGTTAAAAAAAGCCTCCACTGGGGGTGTTACGATAAGTTCTTGATTCCTTGATAAATAATAGACAATATGTTATGTTATTCATGTTTCACTGCATTTACGATAAATCTGACGTATGATTAACCACATACTGTAAAAAATATATTGAGGTAATGACTTTGGAAATGTACAAAAAGAAAAGGCTGATTCCAATTAAGCGCACTAAGATTTTCACTCTCCCTTGAGTGTGTCTGTGTGTCATTTATTTCGTCCCTCGCCCTAATTCCTTCGACCACCATCTGCTAGTTCTCACTCAACCCCTGAGATTGCCTCAATCTCCCGCCGAGGCTGGGCTGGTCCGCGGCAAGCGCTGCTGGGCCAGGTGAGGACTCTTCCCCTTTGAGTGGTGCTGGCTAGCCCAGGGCATTCTGCACCAGCCTATGTGCCTGCAGTTTTGGAAGAGGCCGCGGGCGCCGCTTGTCCCTGGTATACAGGGGGTGCCCTCCCCTAACAGGGACTCCGGCACTCCGTCTAGGGCGTCAGAGGGCGCAGAGCCCGCCGCTGGGGATGTGGGTGGGAGAGGAGGGTGCAGGCGAGACCCAGGAGGAAGGTTTGGGCTTCCGCGAAGGGGAAGAGGGCCCCATTCACCCATGCGGGAGGACAATCCCATACCCTCATGGGTGCAGAAGTGGCCCCAACCCGGTGGGGGCTGAGGGTCCCCGAACCCCTTCACCAGAGCCCCATTGCAGCGACCCTAAGATGTGCAACAGTGCACAGGCAGAGTCGGGTGGGCTGGTTCAGGCTCCGGCCATGGGCGGAGCCTGGGGCATATCAGCGCTGCTGAGCCAGGTGCAGACTCTTCCCCTATGAGTGGTGCTGGCTTGCCCGGAGCTTTCCGCGCTGGCCTGTGTGCCTGCAGTTTTGGAAGAGGCCGCGGTCGCCACTTGTCCCTGGCTTACAGGGGGTGCCCTCCCCTGACAGGGACCCCGACACTCCGTCTAGGACGTCTGCGGGCGCCCGGCCCCACCGCTGGGGCTGTGAGAGAGAGAAGAGTGTGCAGGCGTGGCCCGGGGGGAAGATTTGGGCTTCCCCGAGGGGAAGAGAGCTCTGTTCCGCCATGGGGGAAGAAAATCCCGTACCCCCATGGGTGCAGAGGTGGCCCCAGCCCTGTGGGGGCGGAGGGTCCCAGAAAACCCTCTCCATTGCCCCCTAGCGGCGGCCCTAGGAAGTGCAACAGTGCGAAGGCAGCGTTGGGTGGGCGGGGTTAGGCTCCAGTGAGGGTTGGAGCCTGGGGCACATTAGCGCTGCTGGCCCAGGTGCGGACTCTTCCCCTTTGAGTGGTGCTGTCTTCCCCAGGGCGTTCCCCGCTGGCCTGTGTGCTGGCAGTTTTGGAAGTGGCCGCGGTCGCCGCTTGTCCCTGGCTTCCACGGGGTGCCCTCCCCTGACCGGGACCCCGGCCCTATGTCTAGGGCTTCTGCAGGCGCACGGCCCCGCCGGTAGGCCTGTGAGTGAGAGAGGAGGGTGCAGGCGTGCCCCGGGAGGAAGGTTTGGTCTTCCGCGAAGGGGAAGAGGGCCCCTTTCACCCATGGGGGAGGACAATCCCGTACCCCCATGGGTGCAGTGTTGGCCCCAGCCCGGTGGGGCTGAGGGTCCCCGAACCCCCTCACCAGCGCGCCGTAGCGGCGGCCCTAGGAAGTGCACATGTGCGCAGCCAGAATCGGGTGGGCGGGGTCAGGCTCCGTCCAGGGGCGGAGCCTGGGGCTCAGCAGCGCTGCTGGGCCAGGACAGATTCTTCCCCTTTGAGTGGTGCTGGCTTGCTCGGGGCTTTTATCCGCGCCGGCCTGTGTGACTGCAGTTTTGGAAGAGGCCGCGGTCGCCGCTTGTCCCTGGCTTCCAGGGGGTGCCCTCCCCTGACCGGGACCCCAGCCCTCCGTCTAGGGCGATGCGTGCAAACGGCCCCGCCGCTGGGGCTTTGAGTGCGAGAGGAGGCTGCAGGCGTGCCCCGGGAGGAAGGTTTGGGCTTCCGTGTAGGGGAAGAGGGCCCCGTTCCCCCATGGGGGAGGACAATCCCGTAACCCAAGGGTGCAAGGGTGGCCCCAGCCCGTTGGGGGCTGAGGGTCCCCGAACACCCTCACCAGCGCCCCCTAGTGGCGGCCCTAGGAAGTGCACCTGTGCGCAGCCAGGGTCGGGTGGGCGTGGTCAGACTTCGGCCAGGGCCGGAGCCTGGGGCTCATCAAGCGCTGCTGGCCAGGTGCGGACTATACCCCTTTTAATGGTGCTGGCTTGCCCGGGACTTTTTACCACGCCGGCCTGTGTGCCTGCAGTTTTCGAAGAGGTCTCGGTCGCCGCTTGTCCCTGGCTTCCAGGGGGTGCCCTCCCCTGACCAGGACACCAGCCCTCCGTCTAGGGCGTCTGCAGGCGCACGGCCCCGCAGCTGGGGCTTTGAGTGCGAGAGGAGGATGCAGGCGTGCCTCGGGAGGAAGGTTTGGGCTTCCGGTTAGGGGAAGAGGGCCCCGTACCCCAATGGGGGAGGACCATCCCGTAACCCCATGGGTGCAGGGGTGACCCAGCCCGGTGGGGGCTGAGGGTCCCCGAACCCCCCTCGCCTGCGCCCCCTAGCGGAGGCCCTAGGAATTGAACCTGTGCTCAGCCAGAGTCGGGTGGGCGGGGTCAGGCTCCGGCCAGGGGTGGAGCCTGGGGCTCATCAGCGCTGCTGGGCCAGGTGCGGACTCGTCCCCTTTGAGTGGTGCTGGCTTGCCCATGACTTTTTTCCGCGCCGGCCTGTGTGCCTGCTGTTTTTGATGAGGCTGCGGTCGCAGCCTGTCCCTGGCTTCCAGTGGGTGCCCTCCCTTGACAGGGACCCCGGCCCTACGTCTAGGGCGTCTGCGGGCGCACGGCCCCGCCGCTGGGGCTGTGAGTGCGAGAGGAAGGTTCAGGCGTGCCCCGGGAGGAAGGTTTGGGCTTCCGCGAAGGGCAGTGGTTCCTGTTCCCCCAAGGGGGAGGACAATCCCGGACTCCCATGGGTGCTGGGTTGGCCCCAGCCCGGTGGGGGCTGATGGTCCCCGAACCCCCTCCCCAGCGCCCCCTAGCGGTGGCCCTAGGAAGTGAACCTGTGCGCAGCCTGAGTCGGGTGGGCAGGGTCAGGCTCCGGCCAGGGGCGGAACCTGGGGCTCATCAGCGCTGCTGGGCCAGGTGTGGACTCTTCCCCTTTGAGTGGTGCTGGCTTGCCCTGGGCTTTTTTACGCGCCCGCCTTTGTGCCTGCAGTTTTGGGAGATGCCGCGGTCGCCGCTTGTCCCTGGCTTCCAGGGGGTGCCCTCCCCTGACCGGGACCCCGGCCCTCCGTCTAGGGCATCTGCGGGTGCACGGCCCCGCCGCTGGGGCTTTGAGTGCGAGAGGAGGGTGAAAGCATGCCCCGGGAGGAAGATTTGGGCTTCCGTGTAGGGGAAGAGGGCCCCGTTCCCCCATGGGGGAGGACAATGCCGAAACTCAAGGTTGCAGGGGTGGCCCCAGCCCGTTGGGGGCTGAGGGTCTCCGAACACCCTCACCATCGCCCCCTAGCCGCGGCCCTACGAAGTGCACATGTGCGCAGCCAGGGTCGGGTGGGCGTGGTCAGACTATACCCATTTGAGTGGTGCAGGCATGCCCGGGGCTTTCCAGGCAGGCCTGTGTGCCTGCAGTTTTGGAAGAGGCCGCGGTCGCCGCTTTTTCCTGGCTTCCAGGGGGTGCCCTCCCTTGACCGGGACCCTGGCCCTCCGTCTAGGGTGTCTGTGTGTGCAAGGCCCCGCCGCTGGGGCTGTGAGTGCGAGAGGAGGGTGCAGGCGTGCACCGGGAGGAAGGTTTGGGCTTCCCTGAAGGGGAGAGGGCCCCGTTCCTCCATGGGGGAGGAGGATCCCGTATCCCCATGGGTGCAGTGGTGGCCCCAGCCCGTTGGGGGCTGAGGGTCCCCGAACCCCCTCACCAGCGCTCCCTAGCGGCCGCCCTAGGAAGTGCCCCTGTGCGCAGCCAGAGTCCGGTGGGCGGTGTCAGGCTCCGGCCAGGGGCGGACACTGGGGCTCATCAGCGCTGCTGGACAGGTGCGGACTCTTCCCCTTTGACTGGTGCTGGCTTGCCCCGGGCTCTTTTCCGCGCCGGCCTTGTGCCTGCAGTTTTGGAAGACGCCGCGGTCGCCGATTTTACCTGGCTTCCAGGAGGTGCCCGCCCTGAAAGGACCCCGGCCCTCTGTCAAGGGCGTCTGCGGGCGCTCGGCCCCGACGCTGGGGCTGTGAGTGCGAAAGGAGGGTGCAGGCGTGCACCGGGAGGAATGTTTGGGCTTCTGCAAAGGGGAAGAGATCCCCGTTACACAATGGGGGAGGACAATCCAGTACCCCCATGGGTGCAGTGTTGGCTCCAGCCCGGTGGGGGCTGAGGGTCCCCGAACCCCCTCACCAGCGCCCCCTAGCGGGGGCCATAGGAACTGCACCTGTGATCAGCCAGAATGGGGTGGGCGGGGTCAGGCTCTGGCAAGGGGCGGAGCCTGGGTCTCATCACCGCTGCTGGGCCAGGTGCGAACTCCTGCCCTTTGAGTGATGCTGGCTTGCCCGGGGCTTTTTTCCGTGCCGGCCTGTGTGCCTGAAGTTTTGGAAGAGGCCGTGGTCGCCGCTTGTCCCTGGCTTCCAGGGGGTCCCCTCCCTTGACAGGAACACCGGCCCTCTATCTAGGGCGTCTGCGGGCGCACGGCCCCGCCGCTGGGACTGTGTGTGCGTGAGGAGGGTGCAGGCGTGCCCCGGGAGGATGGTTTGGGCTTCCGCGATGGGGATGAGGGCCCCGTTCCCCTATAGGGGAGGACAATCCAGTACCCCCATGGGTGCAGTGGTGGCCCCAGCCCGGTGGGGGCTAAGGGTCCCCGAACCCCCTCACCAGCGCATCCTAGCGGCGGCCCTAGGAAGTGCACTTGTGCGCAGCCAGATTCTGGTGGGCGGGGTCAGGCTCCGGCCAGGGG